GATAAAAGTTCCATTTGCCATCCCTGGCTCATGTTCCAGGCTCTCTTTCGCCTGCAGTTTCAGAGAAGCGCTTTGAGCATTGAGTTGGAGATCCAGGCAAAGAAACAAAATGTCTCTGCACATGCAGAGGAAATTGTTTGGGTGTTGTTCTGTTGAAGTAAAACCCAGAGATCCATACAGGCTTCCAGTCACCTGAACAGCTGCAGCTAGCTCTCGTGCATTTTGACTTTATGATGTACTGTGAATCACCATCTGCAGATAGTCATCATAATTCTCCAGTTTCTGAAAAAGGGAGATATATTATACAGTGCTAAAGAATTTGGAGTGGGGAGGGGGCTATAGTTACAACAGTACCTTTGACAGAATTACACGTGAGATTTTGTAGGAAAGGATTTTTAAAACTAGGAAGTCTAAAGAAATGATATGCTGTATCATTATTAGTTTTCTCATTTCCATAGAGAGAGGAAATGTGCTAGAATAGGTGGAAAACTCACTTCAGTAGAGATGAGAAATGATGCTTAATGGACACACTTAGAGCACTTTGGAACAGGTGACCAGTAAACTGCAGTGATCCATGTGGTCTCACTTGATATATAACAAAAATAATTCTTGGTTTACCTCAGATACTCTTTGGCAGTTCATTTTATCACGAAGAAAAGCGGCATATAATTTGTGGAAAAGGCACTGATATGGGAAAATGCTTTTCACTTTCCAGACATGAAACTTTGGAAAGGTCATTTAACCTATCTGATTCTTGTTGTTGTTGTTGTTGTTTTCCTAAAAATTATGTATATATAGTCAGTTTTTCTGTATTACAGATAACCCGCAAATCACAGTGGTTTACAATAATAATAACACTTTTATTCTCATTCAAGATACACATCTGCTGATGTGTGGCTCATCTGAGGCTCTACCCCAGCTGTGTTCCATGTTTCTTATTCTCAGAGCTGGAGGAGAACCCCTATGTGGAGCATGCATATTATCATGGCTGAAAGAAAGGGCAAGAGAGCTGGTGGATGCCTCTTACAGCTTCTGCACAGTCCTGGCCTAGGCCATGTCCTGCCCAAAGGAATTCACATGGCCAAGGCCAGCATCAGTGGAGCAGGGAAGTATACTCCTCCCACAACCAGCCAGCAAATCACATAACCCTCTCATAGGGAAGGATAGAGGGGACGTGGGGATGAGATGTGAACTCAGTGCTCCAAACCCCTGCGAGTCTCAAATATGGAAAGGTACTTAAAAGTGCATTGTAACCTGATGGGTTCTCTCTTATGTAAGAATTGCTATCATTAACAGTTCCTTTTACTATTACTTAGAGGATCAAATTCTTGCATGTCATTAAAACCTATCAGATCTCCATTCTTACCACAAACCTTTGTAAAGTTTTTAACCATCTCAGTTGTAGTTGTTTTTTTTAAGCTATGTATTTTGCCTTTTTATATTCATGTTTTTAAAGCATTATAAGTACAATCGTTTATATTCTATACTGTAACTCTATTAAAAACCTTTTGAGAATATCCAGGCACCCAGAAGTTTTTGACTGTTTTTTCCCCTAGTGATTAAAAATGACAAAATTCTCTTATAGGAAATTTGGAAAATTTTGGAAGGATGAGGAAGAAATTTAAAACACCAATGTTCAAACCTCTGTCTTAATATACACATACAAATATACACAAATGTTAATTTATACTAAATTGGACATATACTCTTTTGGCAATGTTTTTCCACATTACTATATGTTGTTAACATGCATTTTTACTGGCTGTGAAATGTTTTTTGAAAACATGAATCTAATATTTCAATATATAATATCAATGTATTTAAATGCAATCACGTAGAATTATAAAATTCAGTAATAAAATAAACACAAACCCACTGCCCAACTTGAGAACTAGGCCATTACAACCCCCTGGAAGTTACCTATGTGCTGCCCTGCCACTGCCCTCCCCACCCTGGGTAACCATTGTCCTCTGGTTTGTGTATTGGCATTAGCTGCTGCCTCCTCTTCTCTCTCTGTCTCTTTTTTGGGGTGGGGGTGTTTTCATATACACGTGTATCTCCCAATTGTGTATCCTTGCGTTTTGCTTGGTTTTGAGCTCTATAAAAATGGTATCATACTGCATTATTTTTAGGGATGAAATAAATATTACAAAATTAGTTTAAACTATCCTCTACTGTTAGATATTTAGAGAGTCTTCTGCTGTTTTACACTGAATTTATACATTGATCTTTGTATGTATCCCCAATTATTTCCTTGAGAGTAATTTCTAGAGGTGAAATTGCTAGGCTAAAGGTAAGAACGCTTTTAAGGCTTTTTAAAAAATAGCTGTACATCAGGAAATGTGTCCATCTAGAAGATTTGTAATAAAACAAACATTTGAATTTGCCTGGCAGATAATTATAAATCATTACTAGCTTTCCACTTTAAAAGGCAGTAAGAATACACAAATGTTCCAGTGGCTTTATCAGATTAAAAAGTCCAAAACCAGATTCTTCCTCAGTATTTCTGACTCCCTGAAAACTGAGCTGTTCTTGCCACACTGTGATATTACTATCCTCTTAGTTCCTAAGGCTAAAAACCTTAAAGACGCCTTCTCTCTCCTTGCCTGCCTCCACTTCAGCCACCCCACACTTCCCCTTCGTCAGTGCTCCGTGCTGCTGTCCATCCCGCAGTGTCCCTTGAATCCATCCTTCTCTCCCATTCTTACTGGCACTGCTCTAATTAACCTCTGCTAACCTGTCAGGTGGACCATGACACAGCTCTTAACTGATCTACTACCTGTCTTCAGTCTCTTGCCTTTCTAATCAGTCCTTCACCCTGTTACTTTCTCAAAACACAGACTTGTCTTTAAAACTGAAACTGGAAGTCTTTGATAGCTCTCCATTATCTACATGATAAAATCCACACTCTTTAATTAAAGCCCTTGATCTCATTTAACCTAGCTCTCCAGCTTTGTTTTCTTGTGATTCATCCTCCCCACCCCACCCACCCCAAGAGTTTTGTGTGTTATATTCTGGCCAGCTTGGGCTACTTGTTCCCTATGTATTTTCCTGTTTTTCCTTGTTCTTGTTACTCCCTCAGCCTAAATTACCCCTCCTCTCCCCCTCCTTTCTAGCACGTTGAAATGCTGCTCCTGCTTCAGTTTTCCACTGAAATGCCAGCTCCTTCATGGAGTTTAACATCAATGGAAGTCATCATAGTTATACATAGATGAGTCAGGCATGTTTGCTTCTCTCAAAATACTTTAAATGTCAAAACATGAAAAAATACATTTTTTACATTTGCTGGGCGGAAAATAATGCTGGATAGAAAAAGCAGAACACAAACTATTTTAAACACATCAATTACAATAAATTTTAAAACTATATATAATGCATGTATAAATATATGTGTATGTTTATACATTTATAAACATACACATATATGTTTGTTTGCTTGTTTACTGACAGAGACCAAAAGGAATACTTGAGCTTGGTGTTTATTAAGCTTCTAAAATTATTTTTGGAATTAAGCAGGATGAGTACTTTTTTAAAAAATTTATATAATGATAGTTATGTTTATTTTCTTTCATAAAGATGCTCGCTTGAGCTTAAGACAGGTTTCTATTTTGAGGCTTAACCATATAAGGTCTAGTTGCAACAGGCCAGCCAGTTGCTCCTCCTCCCTGTCTCAGTGTTGACTGGATGGATTGGAGGGGCCTGTTTCCTTGCCGTGTCTGTCTAGCCATAGTCATGGTCAGTGAACTGTCCCCTCAACTGTAAATTGAAGGCGTTGCTCTAGATGACTGTTAAATGGATAAGTAGAGAAGCTTTAAGTTCCTTTCCAAGCTCTCATATTCTGAGATACTTTCTGCTCATGAGACAGAAAAATACTTAAGGATAAATGAATGTGCTGATTAATTCTCTGCTCCAGTACCTTCACTGGTGTCAAGCAGCCGGTTCCTCCTTTTGTTAACTCTGAACTGCCAAAACATCCTGGGTGGGAATTAGTATATTTGGCTTCTGATCCCAGTGCACCACTATCTGTGTGGCTTCGGGTGTGCCCCTTTCTGTCGCTGGGCCTCTGTTTGCCTATCTGTGCAGTGATAAAGGTCAGGCTAGGTGCTCTTTGGGGTTCTTTGCAGTTTTAATATAATTTTATAGTTGGTATAAGTACGCAAGGATTTTTTTTACCCTATAATCACTAGCCCATGTGTCAAAGTTAAGAAATCAGTAGAATGGGACTATTCACAAGAGTTTTTCCTTCACAAAATAGTGTAGTTAGCAAAGTGTAGCTTCAAGGTATGCAAACAGGTATGTGTGACTGAAGGGTATCCTGGTTCCATCACTTACATCAGTTCACCTTAATATTTTTTATCTTCTGATGAGTATTTCTCAAGTCTTAAAATTGTTACCTTTAGTAATGTAAACCAAAAAATTTGAAGATCTCTTGTAGGAAATTAAAATATTGGAGTAGATTTCAAATATGCACACAAATTCAGATCTGTCTACTACAATATATCTCAAATACATGAACTCTAATAATCATTGTAGACTTCCTTTCATGAAAGAGACACCAAAATTCTGAAGAGGGCCCCATTTTAATTTTCAAGGGACAAGCTAATATTTGATATATGATTCTTGATTCCAGACTTGCTTCTGGCAAACATAATTGTTACTGTTTAAACAAGTATTTCTTTTCCAGTAATTAGAATTTTTTTCATTTTGATGGGTAGTCATAAATATTAACCACCAGCAGTGCAGGGATAATTTATATTCAAATTGTCAGACATCACTCTGTGAACACATAAAATAATTTACATTTATTTAGAACCTTTTATCCTAAAGTGCTCTACAAATATTTCTTTATAATCTGATTGCAGGCTATATATAGGACTCTCCCACCTGAAATGGGTAGCAACTAAAGTAATTAAGATAAAGGATACAACTTCAAAAAAGTAGAGGAAAGAAGGAAATGTAGTTTTTTTTTATATGTTCCTATTATGCTCTTATGCCTGTAGGATTGGAGAATCCATGTTGACCAAATGCACCAACACAAAAATGGAATTGAATCTGCTCTAAAGGAGACCAAGGTAGGTGAATTACTTAAGATGAGTACATGGGTACATTTACTCATCTGTGAAATACCTGTTAAGAGAGAACATGAAAGAAAAAACACCTAATCCTTGCCCTTGAGGAAGTTACTGATTGAATGTACCATATTACATTTCAACAGCCCTGACACTCAACCCAACTGAAGAAAGGTGACTATACAAAATATAACATATATCTAGTATATTTCATGTATTAGATATATATAGTATATTTATATATGTATGTATGTTAGAATCATTTCATCATTCTTTCCTCCCTGACTCTCAGTAGATTTAACAGAGCATGAGGCCAGCAATCCCTAGAATCTGCAGCTTCCCAGGCTTGCTGCCCTGCCAAAAATAGGGACTTGGAGGATACCACAAAGAAGCAAAGCTGGAGTGAGAAGTTGCAGGTCCCAGGCTAGAGCTATAAGTTTAGTGATCTACTTCCAACTGAAATATTCCAGTCATCTTTGAATTTTGCCACAAGAAAATCATCTTATTCCCTTATCTACTTTGATTGTGAACTTTATATAAAGCAGATTCCACTCACATACATTTTAGATTTGCATAAGGACAACTAAATTGACTAACTACCAGGTGCTTTTTATTTTAACATTCTGCAAAGTGTGACGAAAATAATTCTCATTATAGCCTTTCTTGTCACTGAAAATTTCAAACTATCTTTTCATTTGTGGTTGAGAATTTGTGGGATGGATTGAGGTAGATTTAACCCATTTTAAACTACTTTTGAAAAATATATTTGTGACTTCTTTTGTCTACTAAAATTTCATGAAATTTTTAGGGATTTTTGGACAAACTTCATAATGAAATCAGTAGGACTCTGGAAAAGATTGGCAGCCGAGAAAAGTACATCAACAATCAGCTTGAGCACTTGGTTCAAGAATATCGTGCAGCACAAGCCCAGCTGAGTGAGGTGAGGGAAGAATGGTACTCAGGGATTCATTCCAATTAATGACCCTAAGCCCTAAGCTTGACACACAGCACTTTTCATTTGAGAATCATGCAGTGCTTTTCACAAACAGCAACACATTGGTTCTCTGCCCACTTTAGGAAGCCAAGTGAGGCAATGGAATTTCTCGTCTCCATTTTACATGTGATGGAAATTACCTCCTAGAAGTCTTTGAATGCGTTTCTTCACTTGATTTAAGTAAGGGAAGGCATATATGGTTGAGGAACATAGCTTAGAACAGGAACAGTGTGTCAGGACACCTGGTTGTGTTTGCAAGTCTGCTGTTAATTTACTGCTGTGAGTAGGAGGAAGTAGAATAGTATGCATTTACATGTGTCAGGGAGAAGAGACATCCTTGCCACAGAGGCTCACAACCACATAGTAAGGAATATGAAAGCAAGACACACTCAAAGACAAGTAGTTTAATTAATTAAATGAGCAAATTTTTTAATCCTTTCAAAGTTTTAGAATTTCAACCAAAAATAAAATAAAACCTTCAGCTTTTGAAAGTAGCAGTGCTTTGTTCCTGCAGTAGCGAGCTAAAGCTTTCCTTTGGGGTTTATGCCCCCTCTTTCCTGATATGGAGGAAGACTAGTAAGAATACTTGCAAATGTCAGTTGAAAGCATATTTTGTCTTTCAGCAGACAAGGTTAGAAAGAGAAAAAAATTGAAATAAACTTGAGATACTTCTGTACTTTCAGAAGTTCTCAAAGACCAAGCAGAAAGTAACCTTCACTGTTTTATTGTTATTTGTTTAATTATACGTATACACATCTATTCATGAATACTTTTTAAATACTGTAAGAATTCTCTGATTAAAGCCACCCTGTATCTCTCAAGCATTGATATTAAATAATTGATTGTTAAATTAGTTCCCAAGAACATATTGCAGACTGTCATACTGTTTGTAATCCTTATTAATTACTGATTCTGTTGCTCTATTATGATTGATTTTTTAGAACTGCTTTTGTCTGCATAGCACGCAGATTAGATCGACCAAGAGCCACTGTCTAAACTGTTTAGGAATGGCTGAGGACAGTTTTTATTGTGAACCACACCCATGTGAGTCACACAGTCATTATATGAAGGTTAAGGCAGTTCATCATTGTATAGTGCTTTGGTTAAATCCATAGTGCCTATTAGGGACATAAAATAGCTACCGTTAAATGTCACTTTTCACAAATGTACTCACAGACGAAGAGGGGGGTTGTCATAAAATGATATGTAGAAATTGCAAACACAAAGAGGTCATATTTAAGTAATCTGCTTCTGTTTTGAACTTGCCATTAAACAAAATGTTTTCTCCCTCAGGCAAGGGAGCGTTACCAGCAGGGAAACGGCGGAGTGACTGAAAGGACCAGACTCCTGTCTGAGGTACACACTGTGCGCTCTCCCAAATTCTCACCTGACAGCTGGGCCCTGCTGTTCAAACCATGAATGGTTTAATGCTGCTTCAGCTGGGGGTGGTTTATTTTAGTAATTGCTTCCATTTCTCTAAATCCTTTTCTTTAGAAAAAGATCCCTAAATTCTCTTATCAATACATTAATTATGTATTTATATACTGCTTGCTTCCACAAAATGCCTTAAGTTTTACTAAGTGTAGCATAAAACATGCTGATAATATTAGCACATTTCTAACCTTTAATCTTTTAAAAAATATAATAATTATAATTAATACATAGTAGAGTAGGTAAAGCACCGACTTAAATCTTTATAATAAATTTTTATGTTAGTCTGTGAGATATAAGATTTGTTTTTAGTGGTTGTTGTTAATAACTTGTGTGTGATCCTGAATAGTTCTCTGTCCACAAATCGGGAGTGGCTTGTAACCCTTTCCCTTCTAAATACTTACGGCATTTTCACCTATATTGTCATATTTAGTTTCATCATCTTGTATGAGATGTAAGACCTAATATATGACCTATTATATTAACAGTATATATTATATATTAGGTCTTACCTATATATATGTATATATATATATGTGTGTGTATATATACATATATATAAAAAACTAATATATATTCCCATTTTTCATTTAAGAGCTAGGAGGTTAAAAAAAAAACCTAACAACAAGGTCACTAACAAATGTGGGACTAAAATCCAAGATTATCTTTGGTTACAATCAAGTATAATTGTCACAAACTATTCTATATAACAGAATTAAGCTTCTTTTATGGAGATTATTTGAGGAATAAATAGTTACTTTAAAATACTGAAAATATAACTTTAGAAATATTTAGACTCTAATCCTGTGGTGCCTCTAGCTAGATAAAACATTATACAGAATTAAAGAGCGCACTTACGTTAGGTAAATTAACACTTGAAGGGAGTCCAGGGAACCATTTAGTTCTTTCAGAGTACGTAGTTATCCCCGGTTGTAACATTTCAGGTGCCGGAAAAAAATTAATTTGCTTTACTTGGATGAGCACTTTATTCCCAAGGAAGTTTTTACTCACCAGGATGATAAAAATAAAGCTGACTAAGTTAAAATAATTATGGCTTAGTTCTAGATCATATGAAAACTTTTCATTTTTTTAAAGATGTTATTTTCTACCTGTATTAATGCTAGTTTGGAATTTTGCTAATATTGGAGGCTCTAGTAGTTTAATTTTGACTATGACGTGGAGTACAGATAAGTGCCAATGTAAAGGCATAGTACGCCTCTTAGAGTTCATGGGTTTTTGGATAAAGCAGTTAGAATATTTTTATATATAGCCATATGGCATAAATGCTATTTTTAGTGTCTTATAGAGGAAAAGGTATATTCTCTTATGAAACTGCAATATTAAGAAAGATGCCTAGTAAAAACCTTTAGAAATCAAAAATCTTTTTAGGATGGTTATGCTATTTTAATCAATAACTGATCATTAGAGACTGGCATGGCAGCTGCCGTGAGATAACTGCAGGGCTTCAGTGCCTGGTGCCTAAAAAAACTTAGATTGTTTTTATTCTACAATGTTACAACCTGAGAAGGTTAATGTGAAAGTGATTTGGTGAAGTTTAACAACAGGCGCACTCTCGGAAGGTAAAAAGCTCTGCGTCCCTGCATGCACATCCTGTTAATTCAAATTATGTCCAGGATACTGCTAACGTCTCTCTATCCCTTTATGTATGTGTTATGTCTGAATTAATTTTCTTAATACATCATTCAAGAATTTTGAAAGTTTATTAAAATCCAGGGCGGATGAAAACTTCTTTTTAAAATTAAAGGTTACAGAAGAGCTAGAAAAGGTAAAACAAGAAATGGAAGAAAAAGGCAGCAGTATGACTGATGGTGGTAAGTAGACACTCATTTTAAGGAGAAAATGAGCAAAAGAAGAATATCTCTTTAAGAAATACATTATTTAACTTAATAAATAGGAATTCTACTTTTTAAAATGAGTATGTTTGAGGGAAAGGTATGTGGTACAAAAATGATGTCTGAAAACCAGTAAACTACTCTTCTTATAAATGAGCTGAGAAGAGTCATAATGTTTTTACTATCATTTTGGATTTTTTAAAATTCAAACTGTATTAATCCAGAAAGAGTGGGAAACATTTAAATATGTACTTCGTTATGCCAATTTAAAAGTAATATTTTGTTCTGTTTCCATCAAGTGAGCATTATTATTCCATTTTATGTACAGAAAGAACTCTAAGTATATGCCCAAATGGCACAAAGGCAGTGATGTGACGACCTTTTTTTTTCCCCTTCCCCTGTAGACCTGACTGTGCAAGGGTCAAATAGGGAAGAATTAATAATTGTGTAGTAATTATCTCCATCGTGAGCTACTTACCTTGGCATGGCCTAGTGGTGACTGCCTAAGGCCCTTCTATGCTCTGGAAAGTGTTTCTAGAGCTCTAACAGTGTATACTGAGGGATCTTTCAAAAGGCGATGTATAGGAGGTTTGCGGTATGTTTGAATGAGCCCATTAGCTATGTCTCAAAGGTATTTCTTCCTTCCCTTTCTCTCCGCTGTATCCCCTTTTCCTTCAGACAAATATACTAGCCTGTAAAAAAATATTGAAGACATCCTTAAACACTCCTTTAGCTACTCTCCTGGAAAAGAAAGGAAGTTCAGCCTTGGTACATCAAATGCTACATCATTTCCCAGCTTAAAAATCTCAGGTGTTTGAAATGCCACATAAAAACTGAATGTCACTAAATTGTTGGCTGTGTTTTTAACCCTATTTTTGGCTTAAGACAAAGTGAGGAAAATGTCATACAGTTCTATAATATGCTGATACTCCAAATGAGCATTTTTATTCCACGTTATTTTCATTCTGCAGCTCCTTTGGTGAAGATTAAACAGAGCTTAACGAAGCTGAAGCAAGAAACCATTCAGATGGACATTAGAATCGGTGTTGTGGAACACACATTACTCCAGTCAAAACTGAAGGAGAAGTCCAACATGACTAGGGACATGCATGCAACAGTCATTCCAGAATCTGCAATAGGCTCTTATTAAAGCATTTTTCTTCTTCTAATTAGTTGGTTTTTTATATCAAATTACATTTCATATTGCATAGATTTCAAAACACAGTTACTGCTCTTCAAGCATGTTGAATGAGTATTTTTTATATATGTATACACATATTGTATCATAGTGATTATGGATGGTCAAACCCTTTAAAGTGAATATAATATTTAATAAAGTAATTAAAAATTCTCACTTTCAAAGGAGCTTTCACTAATCACTACCTATATTGAAGCCCCCACCTGGTGGCTCACTGTTCTTACTGTTCCATGCGTGTGAGGGGGAGGTACACAATGCAAAGTGTATCTGACCCGTGCTTCCCACAGGTGCTGCTGCTGTCAGCACGTGGAAATGTTTATTTTTTATTAAGTGGCCTCAGATCATAGAAGATATAAAGTCAGTTTTATCAAGAAAGACTCATAATAAGTAATAAACTTCAGGTATTAATAAAGGTACTGAAGTTTTTTCTTCTGCTTTTTTGAAAAAGTATAATTTTAGGTAACCATAAAGCTGAGGTGAGGATAGTTTGGCTTCTTGGAAAGGATCCCCAGCCGTCACTGGCCGCCTCTGGGCGCAGAGGCACTTGTCATCAGAAGGACGGGGCCAGGCTTTTGTCAAAGGTCCGTGTGCTTTGACACAACATTGTAAAATGACTGTAACTCAATAAAAAAATGTTTAGAAAAAAAGAAAAAAGATCCATGTGCTGACAGCAGCAGCAACTTTCTAGTCTTTGATTTCTAAGTTGGTCAAGTAAGCATTATTAGAGTGAACAGACCTGGAACTGGAGGAAACTGGTGAGAGGAGCTCAAACCAGAAGATAGCCCACATTTATTTTTTGAAAAGGTGGGGGGAGTTCTAATGGTAAATTTTGATAAGAATACTATATATATACATACATATATATATATATATATATATATATATAACACACACACACATATATATACATCTGACAACAAAAGTAATAAAATCCCTTTCTCTTTTTTATCCTAATATTTTACTCCCCTCCAATTTCTTTTTTTAAGCCCTTACTTTCTAGACATGTACCCTAAACTATCTTTTTCTTTCCTTCATACTCTTTCTGGTTTAAGATTGAGTTTAGAAAAAAAAATATCAGTATGTGTAAACTACTCTATTGCTCAAGAGGGTGGCAATCAATAAAATGGTGAATAAGTCGATTTATTTAATTTGTGTTAATAGGTGGTTTGAAAAAGTTCAAAACTTTTCCCTTCTTTTATGGTCATTCGGAGGGGGTGGAGTAGAAAGAATAAAATCTACCTTTGGTCCCACAAGCTAACATTGATTCCCCTGGAGCTCATTTGCATAGGTATTGTCATGGCTGAGCAGTTTTTTGATGAAGTCAATCAATGCAGAGAACCCTCCTAGGTAAATCAGGGCTCTCCATAAGATGTACTTTTGCTCAGAAGCGAAGTGCACTCTTCATTTCATGCAAACACAAATAATCTAAGAACTCTTCCAATAAGTGGTGTAAACAACCTATTTTTATTTCCTAAAATAATCCAGTTTTCTCAGGTCGAGTTGGGGGGCCCTCCTCTCTTCCCATAGACCACTGTGAATAACTCTAATACAGAACTTAATATTGAAATTGTATTTTCTTCAATCGTGCTTGAGGCTAAGGAGGAAAGCCTTTTTCATTTCCATATTCCTAGGCAAAGACCTAGCAAACAGGATATGAGCTAGTAAGTGAATGGGGAGTGACTGGTACTATGCAGTTCCAGAATATCTTGTAGCTCCTCTTCTACAGCTGGTGAATTTAGTGACTTCAAGTCTGTGAGTTTTGACGGAATTTCAAGACAGTGTTTATAAATGATGGGTACAAGATTGGAACTGGCAGCATCAGTATGAATGTGTGGGTTTTTCATACATATAGATTAATAGGAATATATAAATATAGATACAGAAATACATATATACATGTATTAACTAGTTCTGTCCTCTGAGAGGCTCTAGAAGCAGTGACAGCCCAGTAACAATGAGAAAACCTAGCACTCAGATCTTGGTTTCTAAATTTTCTACTTAAAGGAAAAAAAAAAGAAAAAAAGAAACAGGCTTTTGATTCCTGGACTAGGGGAGGGGAAGCACAAGATGAGCCTGGACGGTCTTACTCTGCCAGAAGGTAAGGAAATGCTCAAAGAATGATAGGGTTATGGCTAAAGTCAGATTGAAGGATATCCTACCAGCCAATCTGGGACAATTTAGCATCAAAATAAATAATTATAGTAATAAATTATAACCCACAGGATAAAACAAGAAACCATGAATCCATACAGATAGAGATCAATAAATCAGTGGCAGAAGAGAAAGGTCTTCCTTACAATAGAATGGCAGCTGAAGTAAAAGGAATACTGTGTTCATAAATCACCATCTGGCAGCTACCATCCAGGCACACCTCATGTGTTGCAGGTTCAGTTGCAGGTTCAGACCACGGCAATACAGGGAAGGTGACAATAAAGCAAGTCACACAATTCTTTTGCTTTCCAAGTGCATATAAAAGTTATGTTTACAATATTCTGGAGTCTTATGTGTTCAGTAGCATTATGTCTTTAAAAACATCATACACGTTTTAATCAAAAACAACTTATTGCTAAAAAATGCTAATGATCATCTGAGATTTAGTGACTCAGAAGTAACATCAAGATCACTGATCACAGATCACCATAACAAATATAATAATAATAATTAAAAGTTTGAAATATTGCAGGAATTACCAATGTGACACAGAGAATGAAATGAGCAAATGCTGTCAGGAAAGTGGCACCGATATTTCTGGTAATTTGAGCTTGCCTCAGTTTACCCCTTTATTTAGATTGATAGATGCTAAAACTAGTAGGTGAAGGTTTAATGAAAACAATATTTACATAATCTCAAAGTAGGTAAGATATTCTATAAAGAGAAAACCTGGCAGTGATCAAAAGTTAACATTGCTAGTTGTGCGACTAATAGACATCATGTTTCTCCTGCAAAGAGCACACACTCCTGAAAATGTATGACTTGAATCTAGTCATGAGGAAAGATCAGACAGATCCAGTGGAGGGACATTGTACAATATGACCTGCAATCTTTCAAAAATGTTACAATGGCATGAAAAACAAGACTGAGGAACTGCTCCAAATTAAAGGAGATGAAAGAGGCATAATTAAATGCAACAAGTGATTCCAGATTGGCTCCTGGGCCCAGTAAAAAACATTTGTATTTGTTAGAAAAGGATATTATTGGGACAGGTAAAATTAGAATAAGATCTATAGACTGGATAATAGTACTAAATCAATGCTAAACTTTCATATTTGTACTGTGGTTGTGTAAAAGAATATCCTTGCTTTTAGCAACACGCAAGTATTTGGAGGGAAAGGTGCATCATGTCAGCAGTCTGCTTTCAAATGGTGCAGAGAAAAAGATGTAAATATGCATGTGTGTGTTGGTATATTCATGCACATAGAAAAGGAGAGTGATAAAAAAATGGTGAATTGTTAACATTTTGGGAATTTGAGAGAAGAATATATAGAAATCCATTGTACATTTTTTACAACTTTTCTATAAATCAAATTATTTCAAAATATAAAGCTAAAAAATGATGGTTCTTGGAAATTATATGCTTTATATAGAAGTTAGCCTCACTGAATCAAATGGACAACCAACTTGTTGAAATCATATGACCTGTCCAATAAAACTATATGGCCGATTGAACATGTCTTAAAACTTATATAATCATTAATTCATTGACCAAGTAGGAACAACTTTTTGATACCTCTAAGGAAGTTTTTTTCTACTGCTGTCTTAATTTATCTAGGTCAGTATTTCCCATGAGATTAAACAAAAGTTTCTGTAATGAGTAAATCTGAGAAATGTTAAGTAAGTTCCCTTTTCTTCAGAACTAATTTTCTCCATTGTGACTGTGTGGACAGCAAATGTAGTTCCATTATTTTTTTTCAAATCTGTCATCACAGACCCTTTTCACCCAGGAACACACTTTAAGAATGCAGATTTAGGTAAATGGGTGTGTGAAAATCAGTAAACAAATTTGAGATTATTTTTCAACCTTTTATTAGAACTGGTAGACCTGTGTAGGAAGTTAAGAAAACATAGCGTCACTCTCTGATTCATAACTTGGCTGCGTGAATGGTAAACAAGCATGGATGGATGCTCTCTGAACGTCAGTAGACTCTGAAGATTTGAGAAACTTCATAGAGAACCTAGGATTAAATGGCCAGATGCCTTAAAACTCTTTTATGCCAGCCCAAAAGGCTTTTTGTTTCTTCTTTAAAGTAGTTTTCATTATAGCAATCCAATTATAGTAGTTAGCAAGACCTCCCCTATTTTGTGGTCAAATAGTAACCATTGCTATGACTTTACCTTTTTTAAAACTGAATGTGCCCAACAACCAAATAATAAATCCTAAATTTTATTTTTGAAAGGTTGGAATGACATTTTAAAAGCTAAAAACAATTTTGGATTCACTAGTTTGTTGTTTGGCAAGTTAAAAAAAAAAATACAGGAGAGAGAAGAGCAAGAACCATGGTCATCTTACTGTGTTCTAAATAACACATCTCCAGCATCAGATTTCCAGAATTGTGTGCTATTGATGCAGACATACAAAGTTCAAACCTGTGATTTGCTGATTCACCATCCGTGTTTTACTTCAGGCTCGCCTTGTTCTCCAGGTGAGTGTCCTTGCACTCACTGCTCAGTACCAGCAGGACACTTCCCAGGTGGCCCTCAGAGCCCATCCCCTGCTTCTTCCCATCACTTACTTGAGAAAGCTGTAGGATAGACTTAGTCTTTGGATATAGTCCCTACTCTATGGGTTAGTAGTTAACAACTAGTTACCACTTTCGTACCCTGCAAAGCATTTTCTAGGCTAGGAAGCTCTGACGTTCCTAACTAGTTGGAAATCAAAATCAAAAAGGCAACTTCAAAAAAAAAAAAAAGAAAGAAACAATTTCCTAGGCCTCTTCTCCCTCAGTTCTCATTTCATTGGTCTTGGGTGTGACCTTGGGTGGTCAGAAATTTTAAAAAGCTCCTCAGGTGACTTTGAGGCAGCTCACCTAAGAATTGCTTTAAGAAACTACCACTTTAGAAATGTTTCCTGGCTACAAGTAAACTGATAAACTATCTTAGATCTGAAAGCATCTTTAAAGAGGATCTCAATTAGTATTTCTTAAAGTGTGGCCTATGAACTGTTAAT